TGCTCACAAGGCTGTTCACCTCCTCCCCCAATGTTTTTGTTTCTGATATTGGCCGTCGACTAGAATACTGTTCCAAGACACAAGACCATGTGTCTACGCACGCACACACTCACGCAGACACACACAGACACACACACACACACACACAGACACACACACACACACACACACACACAGACACACACACGCTCACACAGACACACACACACAGAAACTCACTCACTGTCTCTCTCTCACACTCACTGGCTCTGTCACAGACACCCTCACACACTGTCTCTCTCTCTCTTACACACATATACACACACAAAGACACAAAGAGAACCTCACTCACTGTCTCTCTCACACACACACTGAATGTCTGTCTGTCTCTCTCACACACACACAGTCTCACTTACTATCTCTCTCTCGCATACACACACACACATACACACTCACTGACTCTCTTACACACACACGCACCCTCACTCACTCTGTCTCTCTCTCACACTCCCACACACAGATACACAAACTCACTCACTGTCTCTCTCTCTCTCACACGCACACAGCCACAATCTCATACTCTCTCTCTCTCTCTCACTCACTGACTGTGTCTGTCTTTCACACACACCCCCACTCACTCACTGACTCTCTTTCTGTAAGCCCCATCTTGCTCTCACTCTCTCATACACACACACACAAACACACACACATCACCTTGCCATCCTTGACTGGCCTCTCCTGTGCTAATCTCTCTCTCTCTCCCTGTCAGTCCTCCACGCCGCCACCCAACCAGCCCAGCCCCTGGAACAATGGTGAAAATTCCCAGACCCCCGGCAATCACCTGGAGATACAACAGCAGAACAGGAAGAGCTGGGATACCTCACAGGTAACGGGAGACAAGCTGTCTGTATGTCTGTGTGTGTGTGTACCCACACTTGGAGCACGGTGCACAGTTCCCCGGTCTCCGTATCCCCCTACCTCGGTTAGACCCACACTCGGAGCACCATGCACAGTTCCCCGGTCTCCGTATCCCCATCCTTGGTCAGACCCACACTCGGAGCACCGTGCACAGTTCCCTGGTCTCCCTATCCCCCCACCTCAGTCAGACCCACACTCGGAGCACCGTGCACAGTTCCCCAGTCTCCGTATCTCCCCCCTCAGTCAGACCCACACTTGGGGCACTGTGCACAGTTCCCCGGTCTCCCTATCCCCCCACCTCAGTCAGACCCACACTCGGAGCATCGTGCACAGTTCCCCGGTCTCCGTATCCACCCCTCGGTTAGACCCACACTCGGAGCACCGTGCACAGTTCCCCGTTCTCCGTATCCGCCCCCTCGGTCAGACCCGCAATCGGAGCACTGTGGACCAGTCCCCAAGTCCTGAAGCCTCCTCATCCCTACTCCATGTTCAGAAAAGGATCTGGAACTGCCAGGCTCCTCAACATGTTGCCCCGGAGGTGCGCGTGTTGGAGAGCAGTCAACAGACAAGGCCAGCGCGATGGTTGACATTGGCCCTCTGGCTTGCTGTTGGAGTGGAAATATTTTCACTTGTGTTTTTTTTTTCTTTCTCCCTCCACGTCTCCCCCCTGCACCACTCCCCACCCCTGTTTCGCATGCAGAGCTCCTCCTCCAGGATGCAGAGGTCGACATCTTCGGACTCCCTGGGCCTACGCTCACAGGGAACCAATGGCCAACAGGTCTGGAGGAGGCAGGTCACTGTCAACTGGACCGGCCTAGACAAGTCCACGGTGTCCCGCGAGAACACTGGGCAGCAGGTATTGGATTGGTTGGGGGGGGGCAGGGGTGGGGGGGGGGGGGGGGTGGGTCGGCGGCGGGGGGTGGCTTCTGGGGTGAGTGCTGATGGTGGGCCGCAACGTCTTGGTTATCAGTCCGCTGGGCCTCCCGTGCCAGCGACTTGTTTATGGCTCGAGGAGATGGGGCTGAATGGCCTCCTCCCGCTGTCCCTATGTAAAATGAGAGGCAGGCCATTTGGAGTGGTCCCAGGAACCCCTTGGCCTTCAGATCTGGGTGTTCCAGCGCAAATCCCTAGTTGCCCCCACCTTGAGAAGGTGGGTGGGGGGGTGAGCTGCCTTCTTGAACCGCTGCAGCCCACCTGCTGTGGGTTGTGACCCCCCTCAGGGAGGGAATTCCAGGGATTCTGACCCAGCGACAGTGAAGGAACGGCAATATATTTCCAAGTTGGGACGGGGAGTGGCTCGGAGGGGAACTTGCAGAGGGGGGGGGGGGGCGTGGTGTTCCCATGTATCTGCTGCCCCTAGTCCTTCTGGATGGAAGTGGCGGTGGGGTGGGTTTGGAAGGTGGTGTCTGAGGATCTTTGGTGAGTTTCTGCAGCGCCTCTTGTAGACGTTACACACTGCTGCGGCTGTGCGTCGGTGGTGGTGGGAGTGGGATGTTTGTGGATGTGGTGCCAATCCAGCGGGGGCTGCTTTGTCCCTGGATGGTGTCGAGCTTCTCGAGTGTGGTTGGAGCCGCAACCTTCTGTGTGTATGTTTTAGTAAGATCGCCTCTCGTTCCTCTAAACTCCTAACGGGTACAGACCCCAACCTACTCAGCCCCCTCCCTCATAAGACGGTCCCTCCGTACCTGGGATCAACCTTCTCCAGACTGCCTCCGACACCAGTCTGTCTTTCCTTCGATATGGGGCCCCCCCCAAAACCATTCACAGTATTCCAGCTGTGGTTTGACTGGTGCCTCCTCTGGCTCGGTGTGAGTCAATGAGAGGGAAGTTGTTTACGAGAACAAACAGGCCTGCCAGCTGTGAGATGAGAAACCGAGATTGGGCTGGGAACAGTTTGGAATGTGAGAAATTACAGCTCACCAGACTCCTGTCTCCCTCCCTCTCTGTCTTTCTCTTTCTCTTTCCCTCAACGCCTGCTCGTCTCTATTGGAGCAGGGGGTGAGGAAGCGCAGCGCTATCAGGCTGATCCTTTGGTGGTGGCGGGATTAGAGGGGGTGAAGGAGAAAGGGGAAGTGAGAGACAGGGAGAGGCAGGGGGAGGGAGGGGGGAAAAGAGAGAGAGAGAGAGAGAAAGAGACACACAGGAAGCGGGGGGGAGGGAGGGAGAAGGTGAGAGGGTGAGAG